TATATATATATATATATATATATATATATATATATATATATATATATGATTTATTTTTATTTTATGTGTATTGGTGTTTTGCCTGCATGTATATCTATTCAAGGGTGTCAGAAGCCCTGGAACTGGAGTTATAGACAGTGTGAGTTTTCATGTGGGTGCTGGGACTCGAACCCCAGTCCCCTAGACAAGCAGCCAGTGTTCTTGATCACTGAGCCATCTCTCCAGGCCCAGTTTAGTTTTCTTAATAGAATAAACAATGTTTTGCCTTTCTGGTTTTGAGACAGGATCTCACTATGAAGACCTACCTGGTCTGGTGCTGGGATCAAATGCATGTATACCATGCCCAGTTTAAACCTGATTTTTTTGTTGGTTGGTTGGTTGGTTGGTTGGTTTTGTTTGGTTTGGTTTGGTTTTTGTTTTTCCAAGACAGGGCTTTTCCAAGGCTTGGCTGCCTTGGAACTCAGCAGGCTGGCCTTAAACTCAGATATCCTATCTCTGTCTCCTACCCAGCTTAAACCTGATTTTTAAACAAGCCAGATGGTAGTGGCAGGGCATGCCTTTAATTTCAGCACTCAGAAGCAGAAATAGGCTGATCTCTTGAGTTTGAGGCCAGCCTGGTCTACATAGTGAGTTCCAGGACAGCCAAGGCTACACAACTGTCTCAAAAGAGAAAAAAACAAAAAAGAAAAAAAGAGGAAAGGAAAGGGAAGGAAGGGAGGGAGGGAGGGAGGGAGGGAGGAAGGAAGGAAGGAAGGAAAGAAAGAAAGAAAGAAAGAAAGAAAGAAAGAAAGAAAGAAAGAAAGAAAGAAAGAAACAAACAAACAAACAAACAAACAAACAAACATAGTTTCCCCTTGGGAGGGAACCCTTTCCTTTTTCTACTCTAGCTCTATCTAGGCTTTCCATGAAAATGTAAATGGGTCACTTAGGGCAAGACTTACAGAGTACAGGCCCCAGTTTCCACAGAGGACAGAAGCCTGCAGCCCTTTGCATCTGTGGGTTGGGAAAGTGTGCTGTGAGTCAGACCAGGGTGGTCCGTTTCTCCAGAGGTGACCAGGCTGGAACCGGAGGCGTTCTTCCCCTCAGCAGCTCCTCTTCCTGCCTGCCTCAGCCCATGGTGTCCACATGCTGTCCCTGCCTGCCTTCCCCAGGTATATGGTGGATGCTGCGGACCAGGAGAAGATCGAGGCCTCCAAGAATGAGCTCCACAACCTGTTAGACAAGCCACAGCTACAAGGCATCCCGGTCAGCTGGTGATGGAGCGGGTGGGAGAGGGATCTGGCAAGAAAAAGCTCCGTGCAGGGGTGCCCTTGTCCTAACCTTTTTGGCTTCCCTCCTGTATAGGTCTTAGTTCTTGGTAACAAGCGAGATCTCGCAGGAGCCCTAGATGAGAAGGAGCTGATTGAGAAAATGTGAGCTGAGTGGCCTTTCTTTGTGTGCTTCCGCTCCCCAAATTCCCCAGCTGCCTAACACTTCTTGGGCAGGGCTTGTTGTTATTCTCAGTATTCACCACATGATGGCAGCAGAACACATCGTTCCGGGAGCCTCGCCCTCCTGCTTTAGCCCTTTGACCAAGAAAAAGACCCTGCCCTCCCCTGCCCATACCCCTTGCAGACTCTGCTCTGGTCTCCCCCGCAGGAATCTGTCTGCTATTCAGGACCGAGAGATCTGCTGCTACTCCATCTCCTGCAAAGAGAAGGACAACATAGGTGCGTGGCTTTGCGAGGTTGTTGGCACTCTCCCAGCAGTGGCTGTGCAGAAGGGAGGGGAGACATACTTCTGATGTGGTCGCATGGGACTCTGGAGAGTTCCTACCCGACTACTTTAGTCCTTGGGAGCAGTGGGCAGCTAGGAAGCCCCTGCTCTGCCCCTCTTCACCTCTGGGAAGGCCCTTCCTTTTTGTCTTTCCCATCATTAGCTTGGGGCTGTTGTGGGTCACAGCTCTAGGCTTGATCCCTGGCTGCAGTTACAGGAACCTACATTAACAGTTTATACCTCCCGGGTCTTCTCTGCTGCCGCAGAATGGCCCGCACACAGGAAGACCTTACAACGTTCTCTCTTGTCTCCACTCAGATATCACCCTACAGTGGCTTATTCAACACTCAAAGTCACGGAGAAGCTGAGACTGTGGCTCTTCTTCGGACCAGGGACCACAGGCACCTAACCTGAAGCCGAGCTCCCCGCCCGCCCTGTTGTCTCCCCCTAACCCTCTCCTCTTTACCTAGTGTGGGGAGGACCCTCTGGGCTCCTAGAGTCCCATTCTGCTGAGGTTTCAACTCCTGTTTTTATTGTAAAATAATTGCCCCCCCAATCTGGTCCCCTAACCTCTCTCCCTTGCTCTCTTTGTCCTTTCAGCCAGCCCCCCTTCCCTCCCCTCGCCATAGCCCTGCCCCACAACCCCTGTCCTTACTTCCTGCCCCACCCTTTTTCTTCCCTTTTCAACAGTTATTGTCCTGTGTGTACAGTATATATATGTATATATATTTTAATTTTTTAATTTAAGCAAAGACTAAGATCAACCATTTGATGCTGCAGGGGCCAATTAGGACCTGGGAGGGACAAACTGGAAAGGCGGGAAGAGATGCAGGGTCAGGGTCAACTTGGGGCAAATTCAGATGCAAAAAAGAGGAGGCTGACACTTGGGACAGGCACCGGCCTGGCCACTGGTGGTTGTCCCCATGTCCTGTAAAGTGTTTCTGTCTCCCAATATAGGGCCTGAATGGTCAGGCTGGCTGGCACCTCCTTTTCTGTCCCCAGCCTTGGTAGGACCCCAGGCCTAAGGAGGAATGCCATCCCAGTGATCCCCACCCTCACTGCTCCTGGCCCCAGCTCCTGCCCCTACCCAGGGCCCCCACCTCCACGGCCCATCTCATTTTCTGTTCTCATTTCATAGTTGTACGAGGAGAGAACTCAGCATGGGGGGGTTGGTTCTTTGGTTTTATTCGTTTGTTTGTTTAACTTAATAATTTGTAAAGTGATGTTCTTCCTTTTTACACTTTTCAGCTCATATTTAACCTCTGTTTGGAAAATGATTCTTGTTAACTGTACTTTTTTTTTTTTTTTTTTTTGCCTCCTAATAATGACAACAATAAATTACCAATTTTGTGTTGGGGGTGTGTGTGGTGCCAGTTGTTTTCCATGGATGTCCCTGGCCAGCAGACCTGCAGGGACGCCAGCACCCCCTCACACAGGGTGGCCACACCCACAGGGAACTCGTGCTCACACTGGAGACACAATGGCCTGTCACAAAGCAGCCTCCCACACGTGTGTCTGGGCCCTGTGTTGCCTGCTGCTCATTCCCCTCAGTCTCATGTAGGCTGGCAGCTGCCAAGTGGTACTAAACAGGTCTATTAGAGGAGCTGCCCAGACCCAGGCCATGAATCGCTGTTTCTTCGAAGCCGCTTCAGTCCGAGGCCCCTGTCCATGCCACGCCTGCTTGTTCCTCCCTGTGGCCAAAGCTGAGCCAGAACCAGAATTCTGCCTCCACCTCCCCACTCCCAGTCCTCGCCAGGAAGAAATCAAATGTTCTCCAAGGGTGTATTGGACCTGCAGTTCGTCCTTTGTTACCCTTAGTGTCCGTGCTACTGGTCTCTTGGAAAGGGCCCAACCATTACTCTGTGAATAGAAATCCTACCCTGCCTGTCTAGCCTGAGCCTACAACCACTCGCCTGTGGGCCCTTCTCGGTTCAGCGAGAACCCAGGGTATCTAGTTTATACTAACCCCGTCTCGGACCCCCACCCACTGTTGTCCAGCCTTCCCCTTCAGCATGGCCAACACAGACTGGAATAGTCTCCTGTAGAAAGCCCCAACCTTTTTCCACCCTGCCTTTGCAGAAAGAAGCAGCCACTTTGTTTGTTTGGCTGGTTGGTTGGTTGGTTTTGTTTTTTGAGACAGGGTTTCTCTGTGTAACCTTGGCTGTCCTGGACTCACTTTGTAGACCAGACTGGCTTGGAACTCACAGAGATCCGCCTGCCTCTGCCTCCCCAGAGGTGGTATGAAAGGTGTGTGCCACCATGCCTGGCCTAGAAGCAGCCACATTTGTCCTTAGTCTGACTTGGGCTAGACCACCATCCAGCCATAAATATACCAGCCTTAAAGGGGATTTCCTCTTTCTGGGGGAATTTGAAGAAAGGGATTTAGCTCAATGGCAGGGCACTGATCTGTCAGGCAATAGACCAGACCCTGCCTTCCATTGACTTCGTGAGGAAAAAAGGTTTGAGGAAAACCTGGATGGAGTTTGCTACCAGCTAACTAATTCTCAGCTTTCCAACCCTTTATAAGTGTAAGAGGTGCCCCTCGGTTGAGAAGGGTTCTAGGCCCAGGCAGTGTCTCCTGCCCCGCTCACTGCATGGTGCTGGGTGTCACCTGTGCCTGTATCTGGGAGAGGAAATGTTTCAACGCTGAGCTGCCTCTCAGTCCTCTGTTCTCCAGATGAGAGAAAATGAGACAATTATCAGTGCATGCAAAACACATGCCCTGCACAGAGAATTCAAGCAACAGGTATGAAGCTGAGCCTAAGCAACCTGTTCCTTGGCTGCAGAACAAACCATGTATAGCATGTATATAAACCATCATGTTTGGGTCCTCTGATGCCAAAACTGGATGGGTTAGTACCTGGCCGAGGGTCTGGAGAGGTGGCTCAGAGTTTAAGAGCATATATTGCTCCTTCAGAGGATACAGGTTTGGTTCCTAGGACCTATGTCAGGCTGCTCCAAAAGGATCTAACACTTCTGACGTCTGCAGGCACTGTACCCATGCAACAATCCTGTACAGATACATACACACATGCACATAATTAAAAATGATAAAGAAGAGTATTAAAAAATACCTAGCCAAGTCTACTCCATATCGCTAGAGATTTGAATTCCAAGGCATAGTCTTATGCTACACCCACCAGATGCTTAACCCACCATATCCCAACCCCCTTTCTAACAATGGAGCTGGATTGTTAGGGCCTTGAGCATGCGAGGCAAACAGTTTACCACTGAGCCACTCCCTAACACTCTGGCCTCACTTAATGACCATAGGCCTCCGTGAAGGAGAGAGTGTCCATTTCCCAGAGTGGGAGGCTGAGGCTGAATTTCAAGAAGGTATACTCAGGACCCAGGATAGAGCTGAGACAGAATGAAGATAACCCATGGCGAAATGTCAGGATACCCCACCCCTGGCATCAGTCTCTGAGGACAGGTCCCCTACTGTGAATGACAGCATCTCTTTCCGAGCATCACAGCTCAAATCCACTGCCCACCCTTGAGCTAGCCACCACCCCCAACCAAAGTCTGGGACCCCTGAGCAACAAATCCCACATTGTTCCCTAGCTGGCTCCAGCTGGAGGGACAGTGGCACTTTCCCAAGGCTGGCCGGCCTACTGGCTAGCTTTGCAAGCCATTCACGTTGGCAGGCTTGGAAGGTGGCAGCAGAGTGGGGTCTAGGAGCCACCATCTCTCCCCTTTCAGCTCTGGGCCAGCCAGCAGGCAGGAGGGAGGTCCAGAGTGTGCCCTTTGTGGAAGAGGCCACCAAACAGGATGCGCCGAAGCCACCCCCACCCACCCCCTCAGCTTCCATCCTCAGTCCTTTCCCTGGCCCTGACTTCACCTCAGTTCACCCAGCCTACTTCCTCCTCCCTGAGGAGCTCACAGGACTGGGGTGGGGATGGGGGTGAAGAAAGCACACCCTTGCCAGCTCTGTTCTGAGACATGGACCCACCTCTGCTCCCTGTGCGCTACCCCCACACGAAGTTCCTAAAGACAAAGCTGGAGACTGGTCACTGTAGCAACAGGTCTGCCGAGAAGTGGGTGGGTGTCATTCTCCAGCACAAAGGGTGTGCGTATGGCAGCTCCATCACTTAGCAACAGCCTCCCTCTCTCTTGGCCAGCATCACTGGCCCCCGGGGGTGGGGGCGGGGCAGGGGGGATGCCAGGGATGGAGAACAAGGCTGTTCAGATTCCAAGTGCTAGGGAGGGAGACTTGGGCACTGGGAGGGCCAAGGCCCAGGGTGACTAAGGAAAGAAGATTGGAGCTGGGCTGCTCATGACACTATGCCCTTGAGGACCTGTGCTGGTAGAGGTTCTAGGTTGGCCTGATGAGCAAGAGTCTTTATAGAACCCAGACCTGAGCTCCAGCTGAAGGTGGCTCCAGAGAAAGTTGGGCATATGGGAAAGGATGGCTATTGGTCCAGGCTGAGCTTTGTTTCTGGCTGACAGCCCAGCAGAGGAGGGGTCTTCTGGAAGCACCTCAGGGGTACTGGAGGAAATGACTTCAAGGGCAGGAACCAGTAGAAGCTAGTGGCTCTGCTGGAACATACTGGAACCCTGCTGGGAAGGGTGATATGGCAGGGGGCAGTGGGGGCCATGGGGGCAGGCAGCTGGGCCATCTAAGAGCCAAACAGTCCATTCTAAGAAACTGAACAAGAGCCACTGTTAGAGTGAGGGAGGCCGAGAAGCTCTGTGGCTCACGAAAGGAAGGCCTCTGGACTTCCTCAAATGGGGGCTTTGTGGAGAGGGTGAATGGAGGTGGGGGAGGGGGAGCTCCAGAGACAAGTGGGCTGACTTCCCAGGGGCATCTGGGTTTAGCTCTGGATAAGGGTTTAGTCCCTTGTTCCCAAAGCCTCTTCTCCTTGTCCTATAAAAGCTGTAACATTCTTGGAACCTCTCCCCCATGGCAGAACAACAACTCTGGGCCCAGGCTAAGGGGACTGCGCAGCACCAGAAAAGGCTCAGCCACGTCGAGGCACTGTCATTCATGAACAAGTTCAGTGGGCACAGGCTTGTGGTACCTACTTTATTGTTTTTCCAGAATGGCCTTCTACAGGAGAGCACCTAACAGGAGGCAGGGGTTGGACAATGCAACTCAGGTACCTCAGAGAGTGGAAGACAGAAGGCAGAACCCTCTGGGAAAAAGGAAGGGACATCCAGGGCTAAGACAGACCCACCTTAGGGAATGGAGTATTGACCCTGGTTAGGTTGTGTCCCCCCCCCCCAGAAGTCCCTGGTCCAGAATGGGGGTCCAAGTGTGAGTAGAGAACTGATGCTTAGAGAGGGGCTTAGCCAACCTATAGTCACATTCCAAGACCAAGGGGAAGGCAGGCCAAGGGCCAAGCCTTGGCTCTGGGAAACCCAGATTAAGATTTCAACTCTGATGACCTACACAGATCTCCACCTGCAAATGGGAAGGGCAAGGCTGGCAGGTCCCTCAGAGCAAAAGAATGGCGTTGTTGGCACTTGGGGCTTTGAAAGGCTCAAACTCTGACAAAATGAGCCAAGTCCATCTCTAAACAGCAAGATGAGAGGTCGAAGTGAGACCTGTGGGAAAGAATCAGCAGACTGTCTTGCTTTCGGATGGCAACCCTGCCCACCTGCTCAGCACCTGCTCCCCTGCCCACCTGCTCCCCTGCCTACCTGCTCGGCACCCACTCCCGTGCCCCCATAGACTCAGCAAGGTGTGCCCAGGGGCAGGAGCGGGGGTGACTCCCTGGGCTTGTGGAAGTAGATGGAGGAGGACACTTGGGTCTTACGCTTGCTGTCCACGCTGACTGTGGCCGAGGAGTCCGAGGCCCCACCACACTCCTCGCAGCAGCAGCAGCAGCAGCAATCCAGAAAGGCCTGGCCCAGTGGCCTGCAGATGCACAGGAGGAGCACGGGGGTAATGGCTCCCTTGAAGAAGGTGGAGAACTGGTTGATGAGGCCCAGGAGGTCCAGGGTCTGTCGAGTGAGCTCAGTGGAGAGGTAGGCCACCACAACATTGCAGACGTTCTCGGGGAGCGTACAGAAAGCGTAGACCACAGTCAGGCCCACCACAGTGCTGTTGAGCTGGCTCTCACACTGCTCATGCTTGCCTGCCCTACACTCAGGCTTCCTGCCTGGTGGGCCCCGCACCCGCCATGTCACCAGCTGACAGGTGACAGTGAAGAGAATGGGCAGACAGAAGTAGCAACCGAAATACCACCACATGCGAGCATTCTGGTACGTCATCACCAGTGAGTAGAGGGATTCAGGTAGGTTGGATGAAGGCTTCATGATACATGAGTCTACAGTTCCCATGGTGGAAGCAGGCTCCTGCGACAGCTGCCACAGCAGGAGTTCTGGCATAGCCAGCATCATGGAGCCCACCCAGATGACAGCCAGTTTAGCCAGGATTGATTGGCACCGCTCAATGGGCCTCACCTTTGGAAGGGTGCTGGTGGCCACATGGAAGCGGTCTATGCCCAGGGCACAGAGACTAAAGGTCGTGACTCCCAGGGAGGAGACCTGTGAACAAGGATGTAGAAGAGAGAAGACGAGGTGCTCAGTTGAACGTTTATTGGGGCAAAGAAGTCCTGCTTCAGGCTGAAGAGGAATGTGAGTTGCACAGGAACAGAGGGTGGTAGCAGTGAGAAAGGCTGCTATCAGTGAAGCTTTTTCTACCCTTCGGGCATTCCCTATACATCATGAATTCTCAGTTGTGTCCCTGTGCAGTGTCAGTACACACTTGTAATCCCAGCACTCCAATCAACCATCATACAGAAGAAATGTAAGCATAGGCAGAAAAAGTTTCTCGTCCACAATCACACAGCTGATGAATGGTAAAACTGAGGGAGGTTTTCACCGAGGGAGGTAAAACTGAGGTAACTACTTCCCAAATTAGGGTAAGCTAAACCTGCCTCCCACAGACCCACATGTCCCTCAGACACTGAGATTCACCTCTAAGGAAGAGCCATGACAAAGACATAGAAACCTTGGGCTTAGTCTGGGTGTGATGGTGTGTGCTTGTAATTCTAGAACTTGAGAGACAGAGACAAGAGGATCAGGAGTACAAGGCCAACCTTGGCCATACAAAAAGTTCAAGGCTAGCCTGGGATATCTGAGACTCTGTCTCAAAACGGAAGGATGGAAAGAAAGGAGGGAGGGAGGGAAAGAATGAAAGGGCACTGAAAGAATGAAGGTGAAAAAAAAAAGAATGAAGGTGGTGGTAGCATACGCCTTTAATCTCAGCTCTCGAGAGGCAGAGACAGGTGGATCTCTGGGTTCAAGGCCAGCCTGGTCTACAGAGTGAGTTCCAGGACAGCCAAGGCTATGCAGAGAAACCCTGTCTCTTGGGGGGGAAGGGCGGAAAAGAGTGAATGAACAAATTATTTTTTTAATTTATTTTTGCAGGTCATTTTACTTCTTACACCTTCTTATGTGAGACCATTGAGTTAAGTGCCAGGGACTGCAGCCAGCTCTCAGATGTTTTCATCCTGCTCGCCGTTGTCCTAAGCAGTCCAACATCATGGGGAGCAGCCCCTGGAGAGCATGCCCCTGGAGCCCACCATCTCCATGCTCTGTTCATCAAGCAGCACATAGGAAAATCGCCCATTGAGCCAAGAGGAAGAAGCCAGAGCACAGGGAAGGAAGTGCCAACTAGCCTGAAAGGAGAGGCCTCCTGAGCTGCAAGCTGCCGGCCTCACTGGGGGTTTGTGCCCCCTCCGCCTCTTGCTTCAATTCTTCCCCTCTCTGGCTGGGGCAACACAATCCTGGCTTATTTGCCCTGCACTACCACCAAGTGTCCTTTGTAAGAACCCCAACCCCCTCTCTTGGCAGGGGAGCCCAGGCCTATAGAGGAGGGGCCGCAGCCTCCAGCAAAACAGCATTCTCTCTCTGTCTTGTACAAGGGGCCAGCCTGGGCCTTCCCTACAGGAGAGTTCTGGGCAATGCAGAGGCTTAAGGCCACATGTAAGAGCTCCAGGGTATTTGCCTTCTCCCCTCTTCTCCTTAAACCACCGTAGCCTAAATTAACTCTAAGTGCTCCATGGACACTGCTCATCTTAATCCTTCAAGAACTGGGACTATCCAAGGCTAGTGAGTGACACAGGCCTGTAATCCTAGTACTCTGGAGGTAGAAGGAGGAGGATCAGTTGGTCAAGGTCATCCTCCATTTCATAGTGAATTTTGGCCCAGTGGGAGCAATGGGAGGAAGGAAGGAAGGAAGGAAGGAAGGAAGGAAGGAAGGAAGGAAGGAAGGAAGGAAGGAAGGAAAGAAGGGAAAATTTGGGGTTAAACTGAGTGTGATGGCTCATGCCTGTCATCCCAGCACTGGGGAAACTGAGACTGGACAATTAGGGGTTCAAGGTCATCTTTGGCAACATAGCAAATTTGAGGCCAGCCCAGGTTACACAAGATCTTATCTAAAAATAAAATTAATGACAAAAATAATAAATAGGGGTTGGCTGCTGAACATGGCTATTCAGCCCTACAAAACCTCACCTAATTGGGTGGCTAAGGCAAAAGACTCAAAACTTCAAGGCCCGCCTACACTGCAGAGTGAGTTCAAGTCCAGCCTGAGCAGCTTTGTCAGAACCTGTTTCAAAATTAGTAAGAAGAGAACTGAAGTATAGCTCAGTAGTGGGAGTGAGGTGGGGTACTGACCTAGCACATATAAGGCCTTAAGTTCAATCCCCACTGCTTAAAGCGGGGGAAGACACTGAGGCTGGAGATATAGCCAGCAGGAGAATGCTATGTGAAAAGCTCTGGGTTCAACCCCAAGTATTGCCAAGATAGATAGTAGATAGATAGATAGATAGATAGATAGATAGATAGATAGATAGATAGATAGATAGATGGCTTGGCATGATGGCACATTCCTACAGTACCAGTGCTTTAGAGGTAGAAGCCTGCCATTAGCTTGAGTCTGGGCTACCAGGTCAGCCAGGGTTAGTGGAAGACCCTACCTCAAAACAACAGCAACAATAGCAAAAAGCTTTGGGACTTGAAGTATACGTGTTTAACATGTATGAAGTCCTAGGTTTATCCCCAACTCATTCGGACAGTTATCATCCTAGATGAGAACTCCAAGGTTTGGGCAGGCTGAATAACTTACCAAGATCCCTTGGCCAGCAGTGGTCAAAGAGCCCAGTTTCTAATATAATCTGTCCAATTCCAAACCAGTGTGCTGGCCCAGCAGAGTGGTGCACTTATTCCCAAACTCAGGAGATGGAGGCAGGAAGAAGATATCATGAGGCCAACCTGGTTTACATGGTAAGTTCCAGCGCTACCTGGTGAGTCCCTATTTAAAACAAAACAACACAACACAACACACACACACACACACACACACACACACACAGTTTGTGTGCCTAACCACTTAGCTCACCTGGCAGTGAGTACCAGATTTCAGGTAAGATGTAAAAACCAAAATCAGACATGGTGGCTCACATTTTTAATGCTATCACTCAGGAGGCAGAGACAGGTGGACCTCAGTGAGTTTGAGGCTAGCCTGGGCTTCACTCAGTGAGTTCTAGACAGAGAAGGGCCACATAATGAGATGGTCCATCAAGCAACAAGATGCAAAGGTCATGTTGAACTGTAGAGTCACTCTTAAACTGGGAGACCTTTGGATCACCAAATAGGTGGTCTCCGTGGGTTAGAGGTACAGGGAAGAATCATTTCAACTGCTAAGCCTCAGACAGTGACTAAGCTTGAAATAATCACTAACATACAGCACCCTGAGGATTTGACTTGTGTCAAACGCCTGGTCCTAATTCTAGCTCATGCAGAGGTCCTTGTTCCCTCATTATCCCCACTATAGCCAAGATTTATTTATTTTTAAATGTGTTTTTAAATATGCCTATGGCCCTAGCACTTAGGAAGGCAGAGGCAGGAGGATCTCTGTGAGTTCTAGTCCAGCCTATTCTACAAAGTGAGTGAGGATACCCAAGACTACACAGAGAAACCTTATCTCAGAAAACCAAAAGAAAAGAGAGAGAGAGAGAGAGAGAGAGAGAGAGAGAAATTTTAAAAGCAAGAACTAAAGAATAAAAATAAAAGAAAGTTGCTTACTGTTTTGTGCTATCACAAAAAAAAAAGAGTCTTCACACGTGGGTAGATATGTGCAATAATTTGATTAAGCTGTCTTCTTGTGGACTACACAGTCATTCTTACCCACGTGTTTAAATGGAAATCCCCATTCAGGGTGCTCAGTGCTACATTTTAGAATGGTAGAGCAGGCTTTGATCACCTCCCCCTAGTGAGGTGGACTTACTAGGACACAAAGAAGAGGATCCAGACAGTCTTTATGAGACCTGATAGGGTAGGGTCAGATAGCAGGGGAGGAAGACTTCTCCTATCAGTGGACTAAAGGAGAGACATGGGGGTGGGGGCGAGTGGGAGGGAAAGTGGGACTGGGAGGAGATGAGGGAGGGGGCTACAGCTGGGATAAAAGGTGAATAAATTGTAATAAATAATAATAATAAGGAAAAACATTAAAAAAAAAAAAAAGAACTGTAGAGCAGGCCAGCTAGAAGGTCCATCTGGTCTACCCTCCATGCCTACTAGCTAAGGAAACAGGGAAGAGATGGAATTTGTCCACTGACAAGGAAAATACAGTGTCAGAGCTAAACCTAGTGTTTCTATAAGTACCCAGAAGTGTGGCTTGTCTTTTAGGGAGGCCTTAGGAGAGTAAAGGAAATGACCTTGAAGGTGACAATAATCTCATTCAGAAAGGGAAGAAGAGCCTGTCCTAGTGTTTGAGTGAACAATGACTCAACCTGGGGTGTTGGTAGTAAACTAGGGTCCTCCTTGGGTACTGCTAGGTTGTCAGGTTCAGAAGGATTAAAAAGAGGAACCACGCCAGAAGGTTGCGACACACCCCTTTTATCCCAGTACTCAGCAGGTGGATATTTGTGAGTTTGAAGCCAACCTGGTCAATAGAGTGAGTTCCAGGGCAGCCAGGGCTACACACAGAGAAAACATGTCTCAAACCAAAACAAAATAAAACAAAAAACAAAATAAGACCCAAAATGAGAAAGGGACTGGGGAAGGGGTTATCGGGGGTGGGGGGTGGAACCATCAGAGACAGACAGCTCAGAATCTAGAGAAAAGGGTGAGTCCTCTGTGCCGTTACTCCTAAAGCAGAAAAGCAAGTTGGTCTCAAGCCAGTGGTCTTGCACATCTGCCTGTTCACCTGGCCTGATGTGCTTTCTTGAGAGCTACCAGGAGCCAATACTGAGTTTGTCTCCTTCCCCAATGACACAGAGAAAAATACTTGAGTGGGAACGACAGAGCGCTGGGATTATACACACCCACAGATCTGCTCTCAGGGTTTCTGCAGAGACTGGAGCCCCGTCCCTGACCTACAAGTGGGCTATAGAAAGACATACTCACCTCCATGAAGGGCACAGCCCGGCAAGAAACATCCCCGAGGAGCCTCTGCTTGGTGATCTCGTTGAAGATGACAATTGGGAGGCAGAAGAAGAGGACCAAGAAATCCCAGAGAGCCAGGCTGGCAAGGATAGAGTTCCAGGCACTCTTCAAGTAGTAGCTGTGCCACACAATGCACATGACAGACAGATTGCCTACGATACCCACAGCAAACACCACCAGCGCCAGGAGCATGACAGCGTAGGCACTGTAGGAGCTCTCAGTCACCGGATACAGGGGGTTCTGAATCTGCAGCCTTTGACTTGGTGTCCCAGTTAGGTTGGCCCTCAGCTCTTGCCCACTACCTCGGGTGGTTCCATCCTTGTCTGGGTTGGGGCTAGCTGCCACCAGAGGTGTGGTGGGCTGCAGGCCAGAAGGATGGATGGGCCTGGGGTACTCAGCCCACTCCTCAGGTACATAGTGTTGTACCTCCTTGGGCCCCTCGTCCTTGGTGTCTCTTCGGGGTCGACTCCGCTGCTCCTGGACCTTGGCTCTGTGCCCACCCAAAGACAAGGTGGCAGCCCCAGGGACCTCACTCAGCACCACAGCCAACACTACAGCAAAAGAGATAGCCAGGGGCCACAGACACCTCATGGCCGGGAGAGCAGGGCGCAGCTGCTTCAGAGAGGTGAGGGCAAAGGACCTAAGGGCTGAGTGGAATTAAGAGAGGCAGCTGGCAGCTGGGTCCGCCTCCAGTCAGGCGTCTGGAATAGCTGGCCCTTCCTCCCATCCTGTTGGCCATAGTCTGGCCAGGGCCCTCTGCTGGACACTAAAGCAGTCTGTGTTGCCCTCATACATCACATTCTCCATCACACCCCTTCTTAGGCTCTAAGACCACAGCAGGACAGACTGAACAGCCCTCAGTGGGACCTGCTCCAATCACTGAGACCAGGGAGTGAGGTTTGCTAAGTGATGTAGAGGCAGACTATAACTGGAACAAAGGTCTCCCAATTCTAAGGCAATTCCTACATTCAAAACAAAATGATAGGCCAGGAATGGTGGCTACTGCCTATAATCCCAGAACCTTGGGTGGTTAAGGCAGGAGGACAGAGTTCAAGGTCAGCTTGGGCTACATAGTAAGATCTTGGATTTTTTTTTTGGTTCTAAAACAATTGCCAAGATCAAAACTCGAGTTATAATATTTGTTGCAAGTATTAGATGCTTAGTTAGGTGTGCCACTCAACTGTTTTGTTTTGTTTGAGGGGGCAGGGTTTCTCTGTGTAGCCCTGGCTGCCCTGGAACCCACTCTATAAACCAGGCTAGCCTTGAACTCTGAGATTCACCTGCCTCTGCCTCCTGGGTGCTGGGATTAAAGGTGTGTGCCACCATTGTCCACCATCTGGGTTCTTGATGGTTCTTAATGTGTTTGGGGAGGGGAGGGCTTATTGTGATCCATTTCCTCGACTCAAAATATGAGGTTTGTGGTAACGTTAGTGACTACGTAGTTGACGCAAGGTAGAACCAGGCTCAAAACATGAATCTGACTCCATAGCCTTTTAACTCGATGCTGATCTCAACAGGCAAGAGCCCAGTCCTTGCCTCCTAGCCACACAAACTCCAAAAGGAAAGCAGAAATAAGCAAATTTTAAACACCACACTCTAGGATGAGGTGGTAATTAGTGGTAATATTTACCTAGCATGTTTGAGGCCCTGGGTTCCATCCCCAGCACTGGAACCACAATAAAATATAAACAAAAAATGAAATAAAATCATGAAGGTGGACCAGGCAGTGATGATATGTGCCTTTAATCCTAGCACTCAGGGAGGCAGAGGCAGGTGGATCTCTGTGAGTTCAAGGCTCGCCTGGTCTACAGAGCAAGTTCCAGGACAGCCAGGGCTAAAACAGAGAAACCCTGTCTCAGAAAAAAAAAAAAAAATCATGGAAGTGTAGTCAAAAGTGCAAAAGACCAGGACCATTCAATGCAGAAAGGAGATAAATATGTGAACTAATAATTACACCTCAACATGACAGATGCTGTGAAAGGCAGGGTAGAGGTGCAAGGGAGGAGCCTGGCGCTGTCTGGAAGGTTGTAAGATGTAAGTAAGGGTCTCAGGAGAAAAACAGAAGGAGGAGGAGACAGAAAGAGATAGAGTGTCCATCCTTTGCTGAGGAGTCTTGAGGAGCTGCCAGAGGGCTGTCTAAAGTCTGGCATATCAGCCAGAAACAGCTTCATCACCACCACGACCCAAACTATGTCATCGGAGAGAGGAAGCTGGGACCCCACATCCTGTGTCCTCAGGAAACTTTTAAAAAAGTGTCAAGACTCCACCCTGAGCATTGCATGCCCCTCTATGCTCAGAACCAGGCTCTTCTAATCCTCTCGGAGAACCTCTGCAAGGACCTGTCTCAGACCCACTCTGGCCTTTTTGTCTCTCCAACTCCAAGCACATTAAGCTGCAGTCCTTGCAATCCTCCACCTTCTTTCTGCCTCATGCTGTAGCTAGCTGGGTCAAGAGGGGCCATCATCGTGTGTACTGAGCCTTCCCTGAGTACTAGCCGCTGTCCTAAATACTCATAATGACTAACTAGTCTTTACTTCATTCTAGAGGCTCAGAGAGAGAAAGAAGCCTGCTCATGGACACACAGCTAGTGAGCAACTGCAGAGGTCCAAAGGAAGGTTTATCTGACTCCAGCCCTCAAACCCTCACATGTTCCTTTGTGGTTTGCAGGGCTCTAGCAGTGAAGAGCTCAGAGATGACATAAACGGATCCTCTTACTTTTCAGAAGCACAACCTGAAGACCTGAGAGGTCAAGTCCTAAGGCAACAGACTCAGCAATCGCATCTACTGTGGGATCCTTGGTTGTTTCCCAGGCAGCTGCCAGAACTATTTACATCAGTGCTTCTCAACCTTTGGCTCACAACCCCTTTGGGGGTCAAATGACCCTTTCACGGGAGTCACCTACGGCCACCAGCCAAACACAGATATTTACATTACAATTCGTAACAGTAGCAAAATTACAGTTAGGAAGTAGCATGAGGAAGTGTATTCAAGGGCCTCTGCGTTGGGAAGGCTGAGGACCACTGCTCTAGATCTTAGCACAGGGCCGAACGAAGCAGCTCTTAGGCCTCGGCTTTGCTTTCATCCTCACACACATAGCCCACCCTCCTTCAGATTGTGCTTGCACATACTAGACACTCAGCGAACCTTGAGGAACTTCGAGATAGCTCGGTCGTCCCAGCACCACATACAAAGCCCGGTGTGTTGAGGACTAGAAAGGTGGGTCAATGGTTAAGAACACTGTTGCTCTCGCAAAGGACCTGGGTTTAATTCCCCAAGCTCACATAGAGGCTCACAGCCACCTGTAACCCCAGTTCCGGGGGATTCAGCAGGCACACATGCGGCACACAGACATGCGGCACACAGAGATACATGCATGTGAGTAAAGTATTCATATACACAGAGTAAGTAAATAAAGTCTTTCATTTGTTTATTTATTTCTTTCAGTTTTTCAAGACAGTGTTTCTCTGTGTAGCCCAGGCTGTCCTGGAACTCACTCTGCAGATAGGCTGGCCTCAAACTCGGAGATCCACCTGCCTCTGCCTCCTGGGTGCTGGGATAAAAGACCTGCACCACCACCACCCAGCTAATAAATATTTTGGTGAGGAAGAGGTTCTAGACCTGTGTAACTGAGCCCTGACTGTCCTGGACTCGCTTTGTAGACCAGGCTGGACTTGAACTCACAGAGAGCCACCTGCCTCTGCCTCCCTAGTGCTGGGATTAAAGGTGTGCACTACCACACCCCACAATAAATAAATCTTAAACAAAAAACAGGTGTAGCTGCATATTCCGATAACGCCAGTTCTAGGGGACGGAGATAGGAGGATTTGGAGGGCTAGCGCCAGGTTCACTGAGAGATCTTGTCTCAAAGGAATAAGGCAGAGTGATGGCGCAGGACGCCCCATGTCTTCTTCCTGTGGTCGATGTACACAGGCATGTGCGTGCGCATGCTTCTTCAAATGCTTAAAAGGGCACGATTAGGACAGCTGGAATGGCAGAGGCCACTAGGTGGAACCAAAGGTTCAGAGTTGGAGGCTAAGGCCCGCTTCCCCTCCTGTCCTAGCCCTTAGCTATCCTCCGGTACCCAGGCCCAGCCCACAGATTTTGAGGGGTCCCACAGATGTGATCCAAAGAGGATGGTGCGGTGTGGTCACTGTGCCCTTCTCCTCCTGAGGGGCCACCTACCTGCAAAGTAGTGACCTTCGCCCTCGGCTGCTTGTGCTTCGGAAGATTCCTGCCTCTGAGCCAGGCAGGCGCTGAAGAGTTCCCAGCTCCTGCAAATGTCTCTCCTCCAGTCTCCATCATCCCAGGAATTCCCCGTGCTTCCACCTGGGAGTTTCCCCACTGGTGGCTAAAGACATGGTACTTAGATGGACGGGAGGGAATGAGAAAGAGGCTGGGCTGTCCCTGGCAATAAATAAGGTAGGTGAGGGCGCCTCACCAACGAGAATAACCCAAGCCTGTACTTCAAACTGCGCGAGACTCCCAGTTGCTTAGCGGCCTTGCCTTTGCCCTGGTGTTTAACCTCTGTGCCTTAGCTTCCCATCTATAACATGGGGCAGCAACCGACTCCCAAGCAGATGAGTGTGAACACCGTGGTCAGTATTAGCCACCAGCAAGAACGAGTTCACAGCCTGGTGGTGGTGGCGCACAAAGCCAGCGCTTGGGAGGCAGAAGCAGGAGGATCACTGTGAGTTCAAAGCCAGGCCAGGCTAGTCTACAGAGTGAGCTCCAGGAGAGCTAAGGCTATGCAGAGAAACCCTGCCTTAAAAAACAAAAACAAACAATCAAACAAAAAAAGCTGAAAGTCTTATGTTTTTCATTTTACAAATATTTGTTGAGCACCTACTGTGTGTTAGGCTTTATCCTAGTTGCTTGGAGATAGGATGAGGAGCAGAGGATGGCCTCTGCCCTGGTGAAATTCACCTTTGAGCTAAGTATGAGAGTACATGCCAGAAACAGGAGGATTACCCCAAGTTTGAAGCAGCCTGGACTGTACAGCAAATTCCAGGCCAGCCAAGGTATATATAGGGACCCTGTTTCAAGAAGAAAAATAAAGGGGAAGGTTGGAGAGATGGCTCAGTGGTTAAGGACACTTGTTTTCTGTGCAGAGGACCTGGGTGGACCAAAGTTCACCTATATCAGTTGACTTACAACCGTCTGTAACTCCAGCTCCAGGGATCCAGCACCCTCTTCTGGCCTTTAAGAGCTCTGCACTCAAATGCACAAGCACAAATTCACACACAGACATACAAATAATTAAAAATAATAAATAAAATTTTTAAAAGAAAGAGAGGGATGGAGAGAGAGGTCCACTTTCTTGTTAATAATATAGCCACTAAAAAACTAATTCCCAATAATACTATAAATTGTTATGAAATGCGTGGAGGAAAAGGACAGGGAACCAAAAGTTCATGGGATCCCACACTCCCCCATCTTTCACTGAGTCGTGGGCAAGAAGTAGAGATAACGCCCTGACTCTGAAGTCTCACAAGATGCTGTCACAGTAAGATGTGGTCATTGCATGGCCTTTTATATATACATGACAAGACTTTGTGATGGGGTTATGGTTCAAAGCAAAAGTAATTTGCCTACAAAGCACAAAGCCCTGGGTTCTATGCCCAGCTTGCCATAAAATAAATATGAAAGATAACTCAAAGTTGCAAAAAGTATCACTAGATGTAGAAGTAACTTG